CAGAGGGTGACCATGACACAGGAATCCCAACAACTAATCGGGGGCACTTCCTTCCCTTCCACTCTTTTTCATTCATTCGTTTTCTCTTAGACTTGCCAAGCGCCTGAAGTCGACCTCTCTTGTTTCCTGAGGGGTTTTTTATTGGAGCAAAAGCGAGAACATTTTTTTGCGCGTTGACGCGAGGGGTCGCGAGTCTTTCAAGCTCGGAGGCCTGGTTACACTAGACCCAGTCCTCATCCTCATACTTGATCATAGCCAGATCTGTGGAAGGAAAACGTCAACAAATGTGAGAAAAAAACTTTTTTCACCAAGATTTTCCGATTCGRTTTTTCTAAGAAATCTCACACTACTAGCCCTATTCTTAACCATTCAGATAAATTCCAGTTATGCTCTAAAATACCAAGACAACTATTTGAAAATGACATTTTACGAGAGCGAGATGGTTGTTCCTGGCCTCCCAAGATACGAAGATGTCTTGATCGACAGCCCATCTTGTCATCAATCCTTAAAATTCTGGAGCCAAAAAGCCGATCAGGTGAGGTATTGCTATACTACAAAGGTGTTAAATAGATCCTGGTCCAGGATCTTTTATAATAACACCTGCATGCATACTGACTTGGTAAGCGATGATTGTGCAGGATTTCGACCACCGAAAGGAGCGTTTGTCGTATCTTTGGTTAAATAAACTCCGATGTTTATTGAATTCTTCTTAAAAGTATTTGAATTTCGTTCTATTTTCAATAACAAAGAATCTTTAACGACGAAAATGATTAATTTGGATGCAACCTGGATAAATATTTAGAAAACTGAAGCTGTATTTCAATCTCCTGCTAGATCGATCTCCTTCAGCCTAATGCTTAAGAAGAGCTGATACTGTAGTTTTGATATGACCAATAAGCTTAGGCTTTACTTGAAAAATATGGTTGAGTTCTCTCATTCTTGTTTTTCTGCTTCAATGTCTCAACAGGTTATTTTACTCTTGGTTTAAATTTGTAACAAATCGTTTTTGAAAGTCTTTACCTTTGTACAAATATTGTACAACATATTACATTGGAGACAAAAGTGGTAGATGAAAATGAATGGTATATATATAGTAGAGCTACTTAAAAAAAACAGATTTTGAGCTTTTCGTTTTAAAATGTATTCCAAAACAGGAAGCAAAGAGATATTTATTTTTGATAGAAATATACCATGTATTATATATGAATGCATTTTACTTTTTGTTGACACTGAAAGAAAAATATTCTCAATTCAAAAATAAAACAATAAGTATTGCATATTATTACTTTTCTGATTTTCAAAATACTTTTTTTCATTTTCTAACATGATAAAATTGGATATCAATAATATGCAATTTGAAAATTTGAAAGAAAGTACTTATGAATATTTGATTTTTCATAAAAAATTCATAAATTATTCTATAATTTGCTATAAATTTAAAGTCTGCCTTACGTTTCAAATCATTTTACAGATTGCACCAGTATTATCAGAGTTAGCCAGCAATGTAGAGAAATACCATGGCACTGGTGTGAAGCACCAAAAATCAGGCCTAAACATCAGTGAAGCCTTGGGCAATGTTGTGAAGGTCTTCCAGGATGACGACAAGATTTCAGAACCAATAACAAAGGTGAGAATCTAAACAGGCAGCTTATAATAATGCTGGTCTACATATGCCAGTTTGCTCCAAAGTTTCAGGTTTATTAACAATGTAATTTTTGTTTTTGAACATTAGTTTACAGATGTTTTGCAGAGGATAGAGTGTTACCGTGATATGTTCCTTAACCAGACACAGCTTCTCATGTGGGAACCTCTAGTAAAGTTAACACAGGATTATGACAAAGCTAAAGTATAGTGAAAAATGCAATCTTCTTCATTCACTTTCTTTCTTTTTTCATCACTCCCCTGATCCTTCCTTCCTTCCTTTTTTCCTTCCTTGCTCCATTCTTTTGTTTGTTCCTTCCTTCCTTCCTTACTCCCTATCAAACTCTCTTCCTTGCTTCCTTGTTTCCTTGCTTCCTTGCTTCCTTGCTTCCTTGCTTCCCTTCCTCCTCCCTCTGTACTGCATTAAATTCAGCCTTCCTTCCTTCCTTTCTAATCCTCGCTCCATTCCTTTAACCTGTCTTTCCATCCTGCCTTCCTTTATTCATGCATTCACCCTTTTCATTGTTTTCTCCAAAGGAACTCAATACAGAAGTCCTAAAGGCAAGAGAAGCAATGCACATAGCATGGGAAAAGTTCTCAAGCTGTCCTCATGTTGAAAATTTACAAGAGGTTAATAATTCTTTATTTTTCTTTCTTCTTTCTTCTGTTTTCTCCTAAATCTACTAACATATTGAACCCTGAAACATACAACCTCTTCTTGACTGATCTAAGTCAGGGCACAGCGAGCTAACTCACTAGGCTCTTTACATGTACAGGTTGGGCTGCTGGACAAATTGGCCCACTCACTACTTAATGCAAGACGGAATTACCAAAAAGTTCTCTTGCAATATGTTACTATGCTAAAAGAAATCCATACACTCAAAAAGGTAAGTCTTGAACTCAATAATTATGAATTCTTTGTCGTAGGGTTAACCTTAATTTTGTGTAGCATATTCACTGAGGTCTTCCAGTGAAGGTCTATGGAATAAACCGATCCACATTCATTGTTCTACCTAGTTACTGTTGCTACGTCAGACAAGCTAAAACATGTTTTTGATATACAGCATGGAACAGACACTGATTGCTGAAAATCGTAAATGTGTGTCTTAGAATCAATGCATTCTAAAGGTACATTAAGAAAAAAAGCAATAATAACTTCTAAAAAATCTTATGAATTCAAGTTTGTTGGTCGGACATTCTGTATTCCATTGGGAAAACTACCCAATGTTTGGGTGTACACTCGAGCATAGCCAGGACCAGTCTATTTTAAAGTATTTTTGTTATTGATATTGCACTTGCAGACTCGCTCATTCACAATATAATATAGAAAATTATGAACAAAAATGATATCTATTTCTTAGCCTGTGATAATTTCTATATATTTCATGTTATAATATTTTTTGTTTTTTTTCATTCCATAGGTTGTAATTTTACAGAAAGTCTTAGAGCACATGCTGGCACAGTTTTCTTTTTTCAATTTTGGTTATCAGGTTTGTAGTAACTGAATTAGTAATAATAATAAATAATAATAGTTATTAAGCTACTCTATACACCTGGGCCCAGTTGTACGAAGGGTGGATAGTGCTATCTGATGGATAAATCCTTATCCAGTGCATAAGTGGATGCTATTATCCAATAAATTTATCCACTGGATAAGATTTATCTGTTGGACAGTGCTATCCTCCCTTTGTACTACCGGGCCCTTGATAAAATGAAAAAAATATTGTTTCAACTTTGCGTTTTCAGACATTGAAGGATATAGAGCCCTACATGAATGGATTGTTCCAAGAGCTTCAAGAAAGCCACACTAAAGTAGAGGTACATGAAGTCATGAATCTATTTTAAATTAAGGGAGAGTCCATTATTTATTGTAGGAGGGGGATTTTATCCTCCAAGAGCATCAGTCTGTTGTGCGGGAGGTCATGGTTCAAGCCTCTGCTGGACCAACATTTTGTCTTAGAATGCTGAGAAGTGGGTGCTGTCTTTGTGATTACATCTGGTCAGACCTTCAAGCCTGTGCTAACACTACAGGACACACAGTAATTGGCCAAAGTTGTTGTGGTGTCTGGGCTGCCCTTGCAGGAAAGAGCAAAATAAAATAAAAATAAAATATCAGTGGTTCTTAAGCCTACAGCCTCTGGAAGGAACTATTGACTTTTTGATATTGCATTTGTCATAGGAATCATTGAAGAAGGAAGTAGAAACACAACAGGAGATGGAGAAAGAAGCTGTCCTACAGCAGCAAAGGGATGGACAAGGGTTTGCAGAGCCAAGGTAAGTGGCTATATTCTTAAAGAGCAATATACATCTTCATTCACTAGCCTTCCAAAAACGTATGCATATGCATATGTGTATGCAATTAGGTCAATGAAAAAAGCCTTGATTGATGACTCAAAAAAAACATAACACACTGAATTTTAATTTGATCCATGAGTTAACTGTGCCCTGACTGACTTAGATCAGCCCAGAGTTAACTGTGCCCTGACTTAGATCAGCTCAGAGGTTATTTCAGGGTTCAATCTGTGAGTTAGCCGTGCCCTGACTTAGATCAGCCCAGAGGTTGTTACAGAGTTCAATCTGTGAGTTAGCCATGCCCTGACTTAGATCAGCCCAGACGTTGTTTCAGGGTTCAATCTGTGAGTTAGCTGTGCCCTGACTTAGATCAGTGCAGAGGTTGTTTCAGGGTTTGATCTGTGAGTTAGCCATGCCCTGACTTAGATCAGCCCAGAGGTTGTTTCAGGGTTCAATCTGTGAGTTAACTGTGCCATGACTTTGATCAGCCCAGAGGTTGTTACAGGGTTCAATCTGTGAGTTAGCTGTGCCCTGACTTTGATCAGCCCAGATTTGTTCCAGGTTCAATTTGTGAGCTAAATAGCCATGTCCTCACCTGACTTACATCAGCTACTGATGAAAGGCTGTTTCAGAGTTTAGCACTCAATCGGATTAACCTGCTAGATGGTTGTATCCTTACTGATGTCATACTTTGTACATTTCTTGTTTCCCTACAGTTCAGCAGGCATTGGTCAGTCTGTCGCATCAATGAACACACAAGCAGGAAAAATCTTTAACAAAATTGGGGATTTATTTCAAGCTGGGTCTTTTGGCCTCGCAGGTGGGTGGAATTGTAATACATCGAATAAACAAACCGTTAAACACTCAGGCAGGGAAAGCCGCTAAACCAAAGCACTTGGGGGGGGGGNGGGGACTTGGGGGGGTGGTAGGGAGGGGAGTGCAGTCCTTATACCCTAATCCTATCTGCTGTTCCTGGGATATGATAATTTGTTGGAAGAAAGAGCAGCATAGTTGCAAGATCAAGACTTCAAAGTCACGTTCATTAGATCTTTCTATAATAGTATTAATACAGATATAGGAATGATACAAGTTTGTTTTGCACACTATTGCACAAAGCATCCACTGAAACGCCTATGGATTGTCATGTATTTTTGCATGTGGTATGTGGCCACAGCTAGAGGGCTAGCAATACTTAACTTTCAATTTCAATTTTATTTCACTTTTGCTCGTTTGTTTGTGTCATTCAGGTTCACGAAAATCATACAAGGCGCCTTCTAGTCCCTCTGTAAGTATACTTAACAGACTGTATGTCGTACTTTTCACAAAGTTCCCTAACTTTCCTCCATTAGCGAAAACCAACTTCTAAATTCCAATTCAATCATGGAATGAGAGCTAAAATTTTGTCAGTAAGCCACTGGCTATAAGTGCTATCCTGGAAAAACAARGAGGACTTTCTTTAAAAGTGACCTTTTTATTATAAAACCTTTAGGACCAAGAGTGGGAAGTCATAGAATCTCAGCGCACTTCATCCAAAGACAAGCTATCAAGCGAAGAGCTATCAAACAAGCCGTCCTCAAGCAGTAGTACTCCAGAAACAAAACCCAAAAGAACTCATGATTCAGGTGTAAAACCTTCTCCAAAAAAAGAGCACCATGCAACAGGAAAAGCCGAAGAGGCTGGCCCCACAACAAAAGGTTTACTTTTAGTGTGTGTGCTAAATCGCAGATAAGATGAATACTATAAGTAGTCTCTTTTTGATGTTTGTTATTTTGCAGAAGCAGGTCAAGTCGTAGCCGTTGTACCTCCAGAATTGATAAGTCCTACCACAGGAAATAAAGAAACACTCTCAGAGAAGTTAGTATTCCAATGTACATTTTTCTTACAATAACTTTTTAAAGAATCTTGTGTGGGAAGCACGGATAGCGTTCTCTGCTAATACACCGCCTCTCACCAATGTGTCTCTGCCGGTCTTGGTGTCGTATGTGAGTAGAGTTGTTCGTTGGTTCTCTCCTGTGCTTTGAGGGTTTTTCCTCCGGGCTCTCCATTTTTCGACTTCTAAATTCCAATTTGATCTTTGGGCTTTCTTTTGGAGTAATGGTCCCACGCTATGATACAACAGCTAAAGCTAAATAGATTGCATTAGATTTTTTACATTTGAACTAACAAGTGTCCAAGTACTGCAACGAAAAAAGAATTTTATCAAACCTTGTAAAAAAAACTCAGCACTGATCAAAATCACTTGCGCGATATCTCACAAATCGAATTGGAATTTAACGCGTTAGACTTTGCAGAGGGAGAAAAAATCGGAGAATCTTGAGAAAAACCCTTGATTCAAAGAAGAAACCCGAGTACAGGGACTGAACCCCTACAGGTGAGAGACAAGTGCACTACAGCTACGCTTTCCTTGATTCCCTACCTTATGCACGCAGTTTTAGTATTAATAATCATTAATTACCAACAAATCTTTGTGTTACAGTTTGCTACCAGCTCCTATCGCCAGTCTACAGCCACCCACAACACCATCGTTAAACGCCTATAAAGGATGCAAAACAGGATATCTCAGAATACGACAGAAAGCTTTCCCGAAAAACAGATGGCCTTTACTGGTATGACATTGTATTTTTTCTAGGAATTTATGAATAAGCTTTTCGTCTTGAAACCTTTTATCGATATTCTGAAACAACCTTTGCACTGATGAAAGTCAGGGCACGGTTTACCTACAGATTGAGTTGGAATTTATTGTGTTAGGTTTAGTGGAGTAAGGAAAACCTTAGAACTTGGAGAAAAACTCTCGAATCTTGGGAGAGACCTAACAAACTCTGCCCACGTGATGCCGAGTTTAGGAATCAAACCTGAGACCCCAGAGATGAGGGGCAAGTACTGAGACAACCGCTACACCACACTTGATTCCCTGTGAGTTCGTGTTCTTGCTTGTCAGCAAGACAGCGAAATGACTTTCTCCCTTTTTTACATTTTCCACTTAAATTTTAAGCTAAGGACACACGGTGCAACATTGCGCGCAATGTTGCATGCAATTTATGTTGAGCCATGACACACGACGCAATTTGTTACACGCAACATTGCTGAAGTAGAAAACTATCCTACTTCAGCAACATTGCCTGCATTGTTGCGCGCAATGTTGCACCGTGTGTCCGCGCCTTTAAAGCTTCATGATTTTCTCGTGAGCAAAATAGGAGCAATCCACAATTAATTCTTTATAACTGATAAATTTGACAAAGAAGTTCATCAATCCACCATTAATTCTAATTTCGAAACCGTTTTTGATAAATTTGACAAGGAAGTTCATCTTGTCACTCCCCAGTTTTGAGCTGTGAAATTTTCAGGGAAAACACTAAAAAAAATTTAGCTTCAAATTTCAAAATTATTGCGAATACTTCACTAAAATAGTTTCTTCTGTTTTAAGTATTTCATCGTCGACAAAGAAAATGGCAACCTACTAGCCCAAGGACAAGAACAAACCCAACCTTCAACTTTAGAGAATTTACTTCTCTGCACAGTTAAGATTTGCGATTCTGAAGACGCGGACAGAAACTTTTGTTTCCAACTGATTTCGACGACGAGTGAGCGAGTATTTCAAGCGTTGACTAACCTGGAAGTCCAGGAATGGATTACTGCGATACAGGTAACTAGGAAGAAAGAAACATCCACCATAAGGATAGTGTGGACCGCTCAAAAATGTTTGCGGCGATATCTCTGACTGTCGATCTTTTTTTCCTTTTCGCAGGAAGCAACAGCGGATGCCCTTAGGAACTCTAAAGCGAAATTGAAGGTGAAAGATGATTAAGATGTTAACGAAATAAAAGTATTGGCTTTTAGGGTATCCCCACCCCTACTCTTTAAATTGTGTCCAGTAAAATGACAATAGCCCCTTTTTACCTTAAGCATGATATTTTTCCATTTCAGACCACGCGTCATTCCCTGGAGTACCATATCTTTGTTTAACGGTTGCGCATTTGAAGATCCGTAAATCAGGGTTTGTGCTAGTCCTTAAACTCCTTGAAAACTCCTTGAATTTAATTCACGTTTTCAAGGGCACTTGAAAAGCTCTTGAATTTTACGATGTTAGCGAAACTCCTTGAAAACTCCTTGGATTTTTGCTTTGATCATTACTTGCATGGTTCTGAAATTGATCCAGTCAGAAAGATTGGAAAATCTTAAAGTCGGCCATGTGCAACCACCGTGTAAAACCTTGGCATAGTTGAACATACTCCTTGAAAATTCATTTTTGGGTCCTTGTATACTCCATGAATAGTCCTTGAATTTTAAGTTGTTACCTCAGCACGAACCCTGTGAAGGATTTCTGTGTTAAATAAAGTTTATTTACTTATTTATTTCTTTTTTAGTCGCTCGCGAGGTCAAACTTATCTGACGACATAGGTCATAAGAGAGAACCCAGATCTCTCGTTCTAAATGCAGCTGAAAGAATACGAAAAGTTGCTGGTAATAAGTACTGTGCTGATTGCTCTTCTCCCAGTAAGTGTTCTTTGAAAATACAGTGGTTTTCTTACCTAAACTGTACAAACGACTATACGACAAATCTTATATTCTTTAAGACGGCACGGTACGCTATAGAATTTACGTCATTTTTTAAACCAATCAGAGTGCGTGACTTTACTGCTTATCCAATCGCAGAAGAGTTTTCGTATGAGTGTGAAACGATAGTGTAAATTCGAAATCGTACCGCGTATGTTACCGTAGCTGTAAGTACGTGTTGTGATTGGATGAGTTACTGAACAAATAGAAAACGCGCGCGCGTGCTATGTGCAGTCATATGAAGCACGCGGGATTGGCAGAACACGAGAAAAGTGTTAGGAAAAGCACAACGCGTAGCGGAGTGCTTCTCGACACTTCTCGAGTGTTCTGCCAAGCCCTAAATGCTTTACAACTCTACACAGCACAGCAAGCAAGGGTTTTATTTCTTTTATAAAACACAAATAACCGTTTGTTTTTTGGATAGTAATGACGCAACTGAAAGTGCGCGTGCGTGCTGTGTGCTCCCATAAAGCACGCGCTCCCAATCAATGAGAACGCGAGAGCAAGAAATTTCAAAAGAACTGATCAAAGTCATTCTTGAAAACTGTGATTTATTTTATGCGTTTCTATAAGAGAAAGCATGGCTAACTGGGCAAAAGGGAATTGGGAAACCAAGAGACGAGGTCAAAATTTTCAATATAGTTACGTTTTCATCTTTTGTTGACATTTTTCTCAAACAGGTGGATAACAAATTCAAAAAGAATCTCGTTTTGTTTTTGAAAAGTTTGTTTTACAAACTTTGCATGTATGACCTGTGCGGGAATGTAAAACAAGCTTCTGTACATAATGGGAAAACGTTATACTATTTTTATCGAGTTGGCCGCGTGGCCTAATGGATAAGGCGTCTGACTTCGAATCAGAAGATTGAGGGTTCGAGTCCCTTCGTGGTCGATTATTTTTTATAAATTTTTTGAAAGTAACAAGCACTTTAAAAAAATAGGTTATTTATTTTAGCTGTTTTCAAGAAATAATGAATGAAATGCTTAAAAATAGAAACAAAGAATTTTGACTTCGTCTCTCATAAACTTGTTCCAACTTTGAATTTTACTTTTACCAAAGAAATTTTTTTCGCCAAAAAGTTACAATTTTGCAGATTATCTTCTTAACGTTTCATTTATCCATATTTGAAATTCTGTATTAAAAACGTTTCCATAGTTCTTTTTTTAAGTATGACGTCATTCGTATGAAAAAACGCCTTCCGGGGCACAAACACGAAAAGCCGCCGAGTTCTATGAGGATTTTTTTTTCACTTTTTCTTTTTGACAAGATTCGTTGCGGTATTTTGTGAGCAATTGGACCCAGAAATACGTCACAACTTAAAAGCTCTATACGAAGAAACTCAGGCTCCAAATTTTTAAATATTGAAACGAAAAAGAAAAACGAAAATGTTAAAACGAAAACAAAAAATGACCAGAAACGCTTTACTAAGCTACGTTATTATTTTTGTGGCTACTGTAAGTCATGTGAGTGTGTCCAGCTTTCGGAGAATATTCGGATCAAATCAAATCGCATGAAAAGCGATGATTCTCAATCGAACATTGTACGGAATTACTCGATCGACTGCGACGAACGGCGACGTTACCCGACGATTCTCCGATATATTTTCGTGTAAACCATCGGAAACCATTCAGCCACAAATTCTGACTATTTTTTCGCTTGTTTTCGTTGTATTTTCCAACAGGACCTGATTGGGCAAGCATTAATATCGGCATAACGATATGTATCGAGTGTTCTGGAGTACACAGGAATATGGGTGTCCACGTTTCTAAGGTCCGTTCTCTGACGTTGGATAAATGGGAAGATACCACTGTTGATGTAAGTAACGGAAACCCATTACTAGGGGTAACCATCACCCATACTGGGTCTCTGAGCCAGCATATTCCCAGATCAGGAGCCCATTACTAGTAGCATCCATCTCCCATACTGGGTCTGTGAGGCAACATATTCCCAGATCAGGAGCCTAATACTAGGGATAACCATCACTCATACTGGGTCTCTGAGCCAGCATATTCCCAGATCAGGAGCTAGCCCATAACTAGTAGGTAGCATCCATCTCCCATACTGGGTGTGTGAGCCAACATATTCCCAGATCAGGATCCCATTACTAGTACATAGCGTCCATCTCCCATACTGGGTCTGTGAGCCAGCATATTCCCAGATCAGGAGCCCAATACTAGAAGCATCCATCTCCCATACTGGGTCTGTGAGGCAACATATTCCCAGATCAGGAGCCCATTGCTAGGAGCAATCATCTCCCATACTGGGTCTGTGAGGCAACATATTCCCAAATCAGGAGCCCATTGCTAGGAGCATCCATCACTCATACTGGGTTTTTGAGCCAACATATTCCCAGATCAGGAGTCCATTACAGGAAGCATCCACCTCCATTACTGACATGGGTCTGCGTAAAGCATTATTTCTGAAAACTTGTTTTGATTTCTCCAGTTCATGGAAGCCATGGGGAATACCAAAGCTAACCAGATATACGAAGGCAATTTGAGAGAATATCCCAAACCAACTAGAGATTCTTCCAAGTAAGACCTTTTCACCGTTTTCTATTTTCTTCCAAAACTGAAACATAGCGACTTTTACGCACACCGTTACAAGTAACGTTGCTGAAGTATCGTTATATGCCTTTACAACGCTGCGCACAACAAGTTTGATCGTGTGAAGCAACTTGCAACGTTGTTGGCAATAGATTGATGTTCACAGTCAACGAATTGCCTTAATACTAAAACGATCGATAACGTATACATTTCAAAACCCTCTCCAGAGTGGAGGCATTTAAAAAAACAACAAAACAAACAACAACAAAAACGGAGACGTATTGTATTAGTGTGGACAGGCTGAACCGGAGGCTTTTGGGAAATGATGACTTTATTCACATGGGCGGGTCTATTTTTCGCATGATGATATTGCATCATCTTTGATCGTGTCTGCGTTTTTAATCCTTTTAGTGTAGACGGGCGAAAACGTTATGAAAACACTAGTGTGGACGTGAAGCTTTTGATAAGTTTTCGAATAGACAAAAACGGAGCATTTCGAAAGCGCATTAACGTGAACAAGGCCTAAGTTCATAGTCTTAATGCATGAAAAGTGACTACGTGTGGCACTACTTGAAAGTTTCTGTCGACTTGCAACGACGTCGCATTCCACGAACAGTTGCCTAATGTGTCCAACACTTTACACTTTCATTTGGTGGGAAAAAAACTCAAGAAGAAACGTCTTTTCATTGAGAGGATAGAAAGTAGGCAATGCTTCCTTGCAGGTTGCAAAAAACGAAATTCCAACCAAAGGTTCAAAACTGCAGAGTTCATGTAATGATAAAAAAACTTTATTTGAACGCTTGTTTTAGAGTAACGTAATTATCGATTTTGACCTATATTATTACTACCATCAACATGACTGTCACATCTGTTTTGAATCTCTTGTGAAAGCCTGCAGAATATTTCTCAATCATTTTTTTAGGGACGATAGACAGAAGTTCATTAAACTCAAATATGTAGAGCAGAGATTTTATAAAGCATTACCATCTGAGGATCTGGACCCAGAAATAGCAAAAGTCTTGGCAAGTAGACCTGGGGAAAGTGAAGAAGACCTGTTTGATGTTTCAGAGGAGGTAGGTGCAGGTCGGTGAGTGTCTTCTTGCTTTTCTATGCCACATTTACTACATTTAACAACTTTTAATCACTATTGTCTTCATGTCATAGTTATAGTGCTTCTCAATAGCAAGTGAGGACGGCATGCTCTTGGAAAATTTGCGCTTCCTAACAATGTCATGGAAACGCTAATTGACATCCACCTAAGTCTGTTTTGTTGCAACAGCCTATTTTTATCATTCCTCAAGTGCTATAGACCACTTGCATGTGACATCAAAGCAGCTCAATTTGGAGGACAAAGCAAAAGAATTTCAATCTCATGCAAATTGGGAACCTATTATTGTCCTTCATATTGAGCTGCATAAGTGATCAAAACAACAACCGGAAAGAGCATGCACATGCTAGTTTAGGAAAGGGAGACTTAGGGTAAGATGAAATTTAAACTGCATCAGATTTCTAAAAAAACAGCCCAACCAGGATTCACATGATGTGCTCTATATTAAAAGGTTTCCCTCTCTTATTCATGCTCTCTTGGCATGTTTGATGGTTATTATTGACAGAAGACTAGAGTAGAAGTCTTGACTTCTGTTTGTTGGTGAAATTGGTGGTAAACTACAATATAAGGATGTGATACATACCTGGTTTGCTGTAACATTATGAATGACGTGCTTGTTTCGGCAGATATTTGATGACGAAAGAGAACTAATGGGTTCCAGTCCACTGTGTCTTATACAAGATTGTCAGGTGCGTTGACGCTCTGCCCAGTTCTTTGATTCTAAAAGTCCATGAGCAGAGGGGGTGGGGCTGGGAGCTTCAGCCCCCACCCCCAACGTTTTTTTACATACTAGTCTCAATCTAAGCCCCCCCCCCCCCCCCCCCCCCCCCCTCACCCCCACACATACCCCACACACAGACACTTCTTCACACACTTTTCCTTTGCCAAGATTGTCATTAACTTCCATGTTCTACTTTCTAGGAATGTCCTAAAGGATCTTGCTCAGAAAAAAGTCACCATAGTCCACAGCTTGTTATGAGTGACTCAGGAGAGGATGATGGAATAGAAGAGGAAGATAACCCAGAAAGCCAATGTTAAGAAATTTAATGAATAGCACTATAAAAAAAATTGCCAATGTTTTCATTGCTATGTGGAGATGGATAGTAAAGTCATGAAAGGGTTAATAGACCTATCCCAAATTCGCTTGACTGACCACGAAACAATGGTTTGAAGTCGAGACTAAACTTGATTCTTTTATTCATCAAGTTCAACCTCGACTTGAAACCATTGTTTCGTGACCAGTCAAGCGAATTCGGGATAGGTCTATTGACTGCTGTCAATCACATAAATTGTTTATTTACAGTTTGCATTACCAGCTGAGCAGTGAATGCAGTGCACAAAGCATGAGTAGACAAAATGTCCCCAGACATTTTTGGAGCTTGAAAGAACGAAGCAACCATGGTGGTTCATTGAAATTGTTTTCATTCGTCTATTCCATATTTCTGCTTCTTGTAGGCATATATGATATATTATAAAATATTTGAGATATAACATGACACTGATTGGCTGGCTACCATGTTTATATCAGAGGACAGACACGCTCATGCAAAATCATTCAAAAATATTTTATGCGATATAAAACATCTGCGCGTGTCTATATAACGTGATATAAACACGGCTACGCCTAACGTTTCTCTATGACTTCTCTCTCGCTCTACAGCTCCCATCGTGTTTATATCACAGTATATAGACATGCGCGCTGTTTTATATTCCTTAATTTCAATCAAAAGAAAACAGAAAAATATGCAAAAGTTGGATTACAGTAGCCTGGGAATGAGGGCCGGCGACAAAACAGCTAAGCACTGTGATTGGCTAAGACAAAATTCACTGCTCATCTGGTAGAGCAAATGCAGTAAAACCAAGAAATATTGACGAATAGTAGCTATTTAGTGACTAGGTAAATGACTAAGTAAATAAATGACTTTTTAGTGACTATTTGTTTATAGTTGCTATCACTCAACCAGAACATTCATCGCACAGACACAAATGGTCTCAGACCCATGTGTATTTGTCTTTGTATGATAAATGTTCTGGTTGAGTGATAGCAACTATAAGTCACTAAATAGCTACTAACTTTACTTTATCTAATGATTAAACCTGTCATGACTTTTGTCTAAATCAATGTGTAACAACAAAATTAGTTACCGTTGATCAGATTTGGAGATAATTGTAAATCGTTGATGTTGAGATTCTCCTTCTATGTATAAAGAGAAATGTATGTTAAATTATTTATTTTTGGGGGAAAGAACTTGCTAATATTAGCATCTTTTCCATCAAGATTGTGAAGTGGGGATAATATATAGAATTCCAAACATAATAATCATGAACTATAATGACTTATAATAACAACTTGGACACTATATTGATATTGTTAGAAACATTTCATCCCTGTAAATTATTTAGGAAAACCAAATGCTTACGCGAGTTTAACAAAATAATGGCTCTGGATATAACTCAAGTCTAATGGGAAATTAACTTCTCAGTCTTCATTACAAATAGACTTCTTTAGTTTGGGCCTAATGTTTTGCCCATTTCTGACCATGTGTTATTCCCTTGAGTATCATTTCTTTATTTTGGATGCAAATAAAACAAAGAATCCTATTCTTAAAGGAATGCCACATATTGCTCTGTCGCAGGCATTTTGTTGAGAAGAACCCCTTTAAATGAATGAATCAAGTGATGAATGAAATATTCAAAAATACTGTAAAAAAAATGCACAAGAAATATGTGTCTAACAGCACGGGGTTAAATACTAGGTGTAATAAATAGATAGTGGCACTAAATAAAGAACCTTAAGAACCTTTCAAACTTGTTTCTGGGCATGGCTAACTCACAGATCGAACCCTGAAACAAACTCTGGCCTGATCTAAGTCAGGGCACAGCTACACTGTAACTCACAGATCGAACCCTGAAACAAACTCTGGCCTGATCTAAGTCGAGGCATGGCTAACTCACAGATAGAACCCTGAAACAACCTCTGGGCTGATCTAAGTCGAGGCATGGCTAACTCAAAGATCAAACCCTGAAACAACCTCTGGGCTGATCTAAGTCAGGGCACAGCTAACTCACAGATCAAATCCTGAAACAACCTCTGGGCTGATCTAAATCAAGGCACAGCTAACTCACAGATCGTACCCTGAAACAAACTCTGAGAAATATGGGAAAACCTGAAGAAAAGCCCTTGAATAAGAAAGAGTCCCAACAAACTCTACTTGTATGAGACAGCTATTTCAAGAATTGCACCTGAGAAACCACAAGGTCGTGGCAAGTTACTTTTGCTATGCCATGCAAAAAAATCATCATGCTTTTGACAATATTATTTTAACATCCTTCAAGAAATGCTTTTTATTTAATGCTGCTAGATAGGTAACATTCTCTATCAACCTAAATATTTCTTTGCACCTTATAACATTAAGTCCTTTACAATTGAAAAACCCAAACTTGGAATGAATAAAGTCAATCTTTAAATATATAATAATTATTATTATTGATTAACAACTTTTTGTTTACCTTTGCAACTGTTTATATTCCTTGTCATATTGGTAAAGGGAGCAATATTTTTTGAAATCTCAATTTGTTTTTGACAAAACATACAATCACCAGCGTAGTTTGCTAACAGAAGTACTTCTATATTTTAGCTTCCAGGCTGCCATTTTAGCATCATCATGCAATGACTAGAGAGAAATCGCAACTCACGTTTTGTGGCAACACTATCGCAATTTTCAATATTAAACAAATTATTTGGGAGTTGCCGATTGGGATTTGGTTAATCTCAGAGATACTGTTCGATTAATGTGTAGCTCCAGATATTATCCATACCCCTCTCACTGAGAAATTTTTTTAAAGACCCACCCCACCTAACCATAGAAATTCCAATTTTCTTCCATGCAAACTCTGCAATTTTTGTTCTTTCTCTGAAGTCCTATCCCTCGGAAATTCCAAATTCCTGTTGGGTGGGTATGGATAACGACTACACAATTTTGAGCGATGACAATGAAAGAAGAAATTCCAGCATGCAGCACACAGATAGAGTTTACATAGTTTTAAGGGCTGCTATGCTGAAACTGGCACCTCATCCCAACAGAGGTGAAGAAAAAAGCTCTCTGCTTGCCAGGGATGATGGAGAAAGAGGTTCAGGTGGTGCTATTAATTTTTAAATTTTGCATAACATAATATCAAGAATAGTTGACCTAAACTATCTCGAATGTTACATTGAATAAGCCTGAAGCRAGATGACATTTTACCCCCGACTCTATGCCATAATAGTTTTTAAGATTCTTTCATATTAAAATTTATGATTCCTTAGAGAATACAGTAACAATAGTCATAATTAAAGAACAAAAGCAATGTGAAAAGGATTATGGTCTAGAGACAGGGGTAAAATGTCATCTCGCTTCAGGCTTATTGAACTTTACTTGCGCCCTACTGGTATCTCCTTAAAAGTTCTCCATGGTCTCTGTTGGATTTACTTGCCTTTTGCCAAGCTGGTTTCATCACTTATCTAAGTCTTAAAAGTTTCAATTTTGGTCTGAAGCACAAACGCATCCAAGTACTCCCTCAAATCCTTCAGTAATGTACTATCAGACGCAATAGCCCATAGTGCCACGGCATAATGAACACAACTACATGACTTCATTAACGAGGCTGGTGAATCATTCGAGATGAAGTTCCACGCCATACAAGATTGACCAGAGCAGAACACCTGTCGCTGGAAACACCCTTGACCTTTGACCTTCTCAAACCGCAAATGAGCAAAGCTAATGATGTCACTTCCTAGAGGATTGCCCAGATCCGAATGTAAGTGATCGACAACGACAAGAGTTTTACGGGATACATACTGCACTAGTGGAATATTCTTATCACTACATTGCTGATACAGAGCTTGGACCATGTCTTTCATATCATTGCCTAAAGGCATTTCAGAGAGTTTTTCAAGATTCAGCTTTGGGATCTTTGCTTTGGCTACGTTAGCAGATACACAACAGATCTTTGCATGTTCACAGATATAATCTGACGCTTTGTTACCAAGTTCCTTAGCTGTGATACACAGAGGGTAGTCACAAGTATATTTAGATGAACAACATTTTGATTTATTGGTTGTGCTGTCATGTTTGTCTTCAAACTGCACGAAGCAGCGTAGTTCTGGCCCAGTTTTACATTTCCGTACAGAAAACATTTGAATGTTGAGCTCTTTGGGTAGACAGAGTTGCACAGCTTGTTTTATCACCCTTGGGTTGGTTTCGCGGGGTGGGTTTTCGGTGACTTGGTTCTTACAGTGTTTGCATATTTTAGATCTGCAGCCAATCATCTTGTTGCATTTGGAACAAAGCATTACTCCTCTTCTTGTTGCATTGCCATTCATTATTCTAAAATATACAACAGTTAGGTATAAATAAATTAAATGAATAATAACCAGTATTTTTTCTCACCTCCACTAAATTTTAAAAGATGCAGTGCAAGATTAGCCACTCTGTGGAAAAACTTTGTTTTAAACACTCTCTCCCTCTCTCCCAGGAAAGAACTCCAGACTAAGTGTAGGAGAAAATAATAAAAGCTTTTCACTAAAATATATCAATAATGCCAATGCCAATGCCAATGCCAATGCCAATGCCAATGCTAATAAAATGATAATGATAATGATAATGATAATAAAATGATAATGATAATGATAATGATAATGATAATAAAATGATAATGATAATGATAATGATAATGATAATAAAATGATAATGATAATGATACTAAAATAATAATGATCATGATTTTTTGTATAGATGTACCTGCATTGTGATTCTCCAGCCTCTTCTTTCTCTTCCTCACATACTACAACATCTTCCTGGACGTTTGCCATATCTTTCGGCTGAATCTTTCTGAATTTTGCCCCCTTGGCATCACTGCTGTTCAAAACATTCCATTTTTGCATAGCCCCTGATGATAGTGTTACTAGTTTTGTTTGGTCATCAGTAGCTTTAGATGTTGAGGATATCCTGCGTTTCTTTCCATTCCTTTGTGCCATTTCTCCCAAAAATAAAGCTACAGAATTTGCATCAAAGGAATTTTCTGGGATGCTCTTCTTTTCTCGGTTGTCCTCTAGTTCTACAGTACCCTGTTCGCCAAGAGATTTATTCATAGTATTCTGATTTGCTGAGTCAGTTTGAACTGCAATTGTAGTAGTCCCTGTAGAACTGATTGGATTTTCCTTTAGCTCTCCTGGGTTAGCCCCGGATAATGTGGCCTGGTTCTGCGCTAGAAGACCACAAATCAAGTCCTGTAAAGAAATCCTCCCAGAAGGAATAGCTGAGGGGTTGTTTTGGGTCAATTTACTAGAAATAAACACTTGACTGACCATGTCGTCGTGGCTTTCACTGGTGACGACAACCTCTTGGTTTGTTTTGTCAATTCTGTCACCTCTGCAAGTACCGACCTCTGTCACATTACTGATTACAACTTCATCAACAACACGATTCTGTTGACCATGTTCTGTTAATTGGCCAACATGCTCATATTGGGTACCCTGTGGTTTATCTAGTTCTAGGGACTCATCTTGGTTTTGTCCCTGATGTAAAATACCTTCAAGACCTTGTTGGTCTCCCTGTGGTGTCAAGGCCTTGGATCCTTGTTGTTCTCCTGACGTCACTAACTGCTCCCCCTGTGCTATCATAGTGATTTCAGATACATGTTGATTTTCTGATGTCATTATCTGTTCACTTTGTGATACTATGGGGGGTCCCCTGAGTCCTGATTGTTCCTCACCTAATGACGCACAAGGTTCATCATGGGTTACCTTTGGTTCCTCGAGCCTCTGCTGACTCCCTTGAACTGCCGTGCACACAACTGGGTGTGGCTGTCTGGTCACCATATCAACCATTTCAGTCTCTGTACTTTCATTTTGTTTGCCGATCAGAGGTTTAATAGTTTGTAGCCTTGATTTTCTTGGGTTTCTTAACTTGGATGGACTACAGTGTTTACACTGCTTGGCTCGGTATCCAATCTTATTCAAGCATATTGGACAGGTTTTTACTCCTCTCTTGGTCGCGTTTATTCCAAGAAATCTGTAAAATATTTGTTTATTTATTACACTATTTACTCAACCAAAAATAAAAATATATACAATAATATAATGTGCAGTTCCAGAAAATATCTGTACCTCCACCACTAAGGAAATTTGTAAAAGGACAGCCTACCCCCAAGAACATCCAATTTCCTTTCATACAAACAGTAATTTTGTTCTTTCTCCAATTTCCCCCGTGGGTGGGGTATGAAATTTTCTGTAAGTACACAAAGTGCGACTACATCAACCAGGGCCACCCAAACAAATTTTAAATCAAATTCACAAATCACATTTTTAATGCTGGATAATAGATGAAATGTAGTGAATTCTGGATTTTAAACTGCTTTTAAACTCAATGTCATTAACGATGTCCACCGAAAAAAAGACATTTAGACATTTACACGTTTAGACTAAAAGAAATATCACGTGTTTCTTTGAACGTTCAGGCATAAAACAAATGCTGAAATATACCATTCTCCATCTTAAATCCTTACTACTAAATGGTCGGGGCATTCTGGATTTTCGATTCACGAGTTGAATTTTACATTAAAGTTCAGGCTCACTTTAGTCTAAATGTGTAAATGTCTTTTTACGGTGGACAACGTTAAATGACACTGACTGTATATATACACGTATAAAGTAAAATATATGATGTTAAAGAGGAAAATGTGAAAATTTGTATAGATTCTATTGCTTAAATACTCGATCATGATTGGCTAATTTGTATGAAAATTTGTCTGGGAGGCCTTGATTGGTGTAGTCGCACAGTAAGCAGCTGCTTGATGATTCCCTCAGACTGGCTTTCATATAGAGACTCTGCTGTAGCAAGATATGGCCAATATGTTGGTTAATATGTTAAAATGGGCCRGGACCCAATCTTTTGCTGAAATCAACGATCATGGAGGCTATGAAGTAATATTCATCCAAGAATATGACAAAGTTTATCATATGAGGTCAACAACAACAAAAAAGTATTATATTTTGTAGTACATAGAAAACTGTTAATTGAAATATTGAATGAGAAGTGGGATGAGAATAGAAAACTGTGAAAAAAATTAAAAAGAGAGGATACCACTATATTCATATGCTTTTTTTTTGTAAGATAAACGATTTTTATATCACCAGTGTATGTTTTACCCACCTCCCAGAAGATATCTGCTTGCTTTCCTTGATGGACGCTTCTTTCTCTTCCACAACTTCATCCCTCCTCAACTTCAACCCAGGTTTAGGTTCTATCTTCCTAAACCCAGGAATATAAAGAATATAGGTGTTAGGAGCGCTTGTTCCAGAGCTGTTAGTCCCTGCGAGTAGCTTGTTTAGGACATTTGTAGTCGTTGTCTCTGTTTGTCCACACGAAGCGATGCTTGTGCTGTCATTTATGTCGTGTGAAGCTAAAACCAAAACATCTTGGCCTTCTTCGCTCATTGGGCCAGCATTAACGTTAATAAACTATTCGAAAACTACCCTTTTTAAGCCATAAAATAAAACAGCAAAAGGAGTCTCTATTTTTTTTCGGTGACGAAGACTTCAACAACAAATACTTCTCGCACAGCTGTACTCGTTAGGGGTCTCCAAAATTACGTTTTTCACCTCCAGGCTTGACTCTAGGAAGCACTAATATTATCCCTGTGGGATTCCAATTAGTTGGCTTTGTGTTTTGGACAATTATATTAGAGCTGTTTCGTCCTACGAGGTTTAAATGCGCCTTGAATTTCGCTCTTTGTCAAAGACTGAAGTAAACAATATGGCGGACATCAACACCTGGTAATGGAGGACTCCGCTGACCAGTAGGTCAGGAAGCCCAACCCAGCCAAAGCAAGCAACGGAGGGGAATCAAGGGTGAAGTAGGGTAGTTCACTTGCTTCTTACCTCTGGAGTATCGAGTCTCGGGTTCCATTCCTGGATTCGGCATCACATGCAAGTGGAGTTTTTCGAGTTTCTCTTATGATTTAAGGGTTTTTCTCTGGTTTGTCCGGGTTCTCCGGTTTTCGTCCTTCCTCCGCAAAACCTGAAACGCTTACACGCCTTTTGTTCCGGTTGATTCATGCATAATATTCTTTATTCTCGAAAAAGGCCAGAAATGCAATGCTCAGTGTATTCAAAATATCAATAACTAGAAACTAAACATTTATAAGGAACACCCAAAAAAGCTTTACTAAACCTGCAGATATGGCGGGAAACTCTAAATATGAAACGCGTGCGCGTGTGCATTGGCGCGAAAACGGTACATTGCCCCCTCGGACCGATACCTTGCTACTGGCGCCTTTGTTAAACTGATATACATCAATCAAGAAATTCATTTTCGTGATAGTTAATATATAGTTATTGTATATCGAATGAATCTGGGGTTTTTGCAATTTAAAAGCAACTGTCAATCCCTTGAGTACCATTTCTTTATTTACTATCGGCCTACTACATGTCATGCCAGATGTCATGCAGTACATTAGCTTCATGCGCAGTCCTTAGGGTCGTCACGTCGTCACGCAATGTTTCGTGACTACGGGACGACCTTAAGATTGTCTACTTAGGAGGAGCAAGAAGTAAGGTATTTTTGAATACCACTTTTTTATATATTCTCTACAATATGTATATATAGAAAAAAGAATTGTGCCAAGAGTATAAAGAAATTCGTTGTTTTAAAAGGAAAAGGACCCACCCTGAGGAATTCCTCTTCAGTCTCCTGAAACGCCTAACTGATCACAACAAAAAGAAACAACAGAACAGAAGACGCCCATATCTGAATCTAGCTATCATAGCCTGCTTCTTCGTGCAGGTACAGAAACAATAGAAGCATTATCAGCGGTAAAGGCCGTGCAAAGAATCATGGCATACTGACTAGTAAGATAATGAAATCGAGCTTTGGTCATGGTGGTATTCGTTTGTTAGAATAAGCCGGTCCGTGCCCTTCAGCTTCTTTAATTTAGTTTTCTTGTTCTCCCGTGTGAACACACTGTTTTCTTTTCATCCAGAAGACTCAGACAGGAATTCGAATGGTTACTGGGTAAAGCGGGTCTCTATTTGTAATAGAGTCAGATATTTTATTGCGGTTATTTCTGATCAGATTATATTGGTGACGTCAAGGACTAGGATGGACATAGATCATAGACCCTTAACAATCGTCTCTATGTGCTGTCATTTCAAGAATGCAATAGCTCATTTCCGAGATGTCCAAGTGCATCATGCTCATCATCGCAGTTCGAGGGCTGTAAGTTAGATAGCTCACGTTATTATGTCACCCTCTTAATAAAGTTTATCGTATCGTAAATATAAAAATGTTCTTGAAAAGTTTTGTTAGTGACATTTTGTTTATAAACTGAATGGTATATTGTTCAGCCGTCTGTGAAAAATAAGACGCCAAGCGTATTTTTGCACGTAGCCTCGCTAGTGATTCACTTGGTCACGACATCTTGGAAATGGGCTCTACGACTGGTCCCCACACGTTGCGCGTTCTGGGTACTTTGAACCAACAGAAGTAAAGTAAGTTTTGCTTGGTGCCAGCTTAGCATGAACCAGTTCGAACTAGTACTATTACATGCTTTATATATCAGACTTTCGGGATACTTTTCAGTTATTGGTGTTATTCTCAGATATCTCATTTCTTATGATCCCTGTATGTTAAATAAGAAGAGGGCTTGGGAAGAAGACGAGGAGACTAGCTCTCAATCTCCCTTGGTCAAAATATTCTCTATACACCACAGGTAGCCCGCCAAAGTAACAAACGAGTGGCCAACTTAAGGGAGATGTGGGGGAAGCTGTGGATCGTTATAAAAGAGAATTCAAGCTGGAAAGGAACGTGCAAAGGCAGGGCCCGTGTAAGCGGAAATGGTTCTAGATTTAGATATTGCTCATCCTAAAGGCAAGGAGATTTCGACATAAGAGGGGTTGAGTGCCAAACACTTTGATTCGGGAAAATACTCTTTGTCCCCCATTAGTCTCTAGAGACTAAATACATTGACACGTTAATAAAGGTTGATTGATTGATTGATTGATACTATCGCCTTGATTGGGTTCGTGATGAGGTATTACACGACACTGGCAAGTTTATGACACAGGTATCCCAATCGATGTTTTGATGGGTCTAAAATTGTTTCGTTACCTTTCTTCTCCCTCCCCTCCTCCTGTTCTCTTTTATCTTCTCTTTCCCTCCCTTCCCCACCCTCCCCTGGCTAACTTTTGCTCATCTCTCTTCCTACTTCAGAGAGCACCGACGCAAAAGGCTTCGCTTTAGTCAGTTGTGATAATACCAATCTCTCTAGACCTCTGAATGGTCAAAAAGTGGGACAGTCTTTAACCAGGTTTGACGAAGCTCTTTCAGATTATTGCAGTGCGGAGATACTACCACGCCTCCTGGGGATACGCCCCCTTTTAGTCAGTCGAATGTATTTTCAAAAAATACGAGTATTGTTTTACTTTTTTAGAATATTATATATTACTTTTTGCCTTATCAGATACAACGTTTGAGGATTACTGAGCAAGAGAGTGTAAATGGCAAAATATCTTGCGAGTCGTTAAGAACAGGAGTTTCCCCTAACACACATACGCATTTGAATTATGTCACGTAGATGTACAATCGTCTTGTTATTTAATATATTGGATAAATTTTGCGTGGCAGGAAATGATTTCAAATGAATTCACAATATGTCCATTCTTCGAAGAAGACCCAACCACGTGAAAAGATCGTAAGATTAAATCCTAGCGCACTCATAGTACCCATAAACCCTATTCCAAGCACGTCAGATACATAAGCCCCGTTTACACTGGCGATTTTTGCTGCAGTTTTTGTGGCACTTTTCGGAAATATGAAATCTTTTGTCTCATCCTTCAAAAGAGACATTCGTCTAGGAAAATCTTGGTATCCTGAAAAAAAACTTTACAAGTAAATTCTTTACCATTATTTATTATGGACAATATCGCAAAAAAATCGCAGCAAAAATTGCCGCAAAATTCGCTAGTGTAAACGGGGCTTTAGACATCTTACTCTGATTGTTTGAAGTGTTTGGCACCCTTACCAAATAATCCAAAAATTCCGATTTCGCAAGCGGTCCAAGCGGTCGCCCAAGCGTGTTGTGGATAGACATGTCTTTCATCACTGACATCGTTGTGTCATGTATACCTTTGCAGCATCAGTTCCAAATATACTTCTCTTACATCATTAAGTACGACTTCGAAAAAAATTGTTTTTACAGAATCGGCCTATGTGATAATTTTTCAACTCAGTAACTCTCTTTAGTTTTCCCTGACAAATTCGACAAGGTTAAAGAAAAGTGTTTCAGATGGTGATCAATATTGTGTGCCCCTCCCACCAAAAGATACACTATAAGCGTCTTGTATATCATATTTCTTGATATCTTCCCGCAGTGTCCGCAGATCGAATTGCAAAGGTTTTTGAGGTTTTGCCAAAGATATTAAATAGTTAGGTGGTTTTTAGTTGGATCAGACCACGTATTATTACTGTACATCCTGTTCTGGCTAATCAACACGCTGTTCATCTTGCGACGTTCATTTGTAGTTAATTATTCATTCTTTACATTCATTTATTTATTTACTCATTCATTTTATTCATTCATTTGTTCGTTTGTTCTACGCGTTTTATCTGTAATATCTTACATTTAATATCATGTCTGAACGCGAAAGCCTCAAAGATACTATTGTTCATTCATTCATCCATCCATCCTTTTAAAAGCAATATTTTTCATTCATTCAGTCTTTCAATCAATCAATCATTCATTCATTCATTCATTCATTCATTCATTCATTCATTCATTCATTCATTCATTCATTCATTCGTTCATTCGTTCATTCGTTCATTCGTTCATTGTCATTTTCATTCGTTTTTCGTTCATTCGTTCATTTCTATTTGTTCAATATCCCATTATTTTTCTTCCTTTTTCCTTCCTTTATTTCACTTTCATCCATTCATTCCTAAGCTACTTCCAGACGAATGCCTTCCGGGAGCCGCTTGCTATAACAAAAACAACACAATTAAAAAATATATCTTTACCGGTTGAATGATCGAGCCTCGAATTTTGTAGCCGTCAATTAAAAAACTAGATTCCTAAATGCGATACTCGCAGAGTGCAGTCTGTTCCGATCGATTCATTATTGTTTTAACTTCGCTAATCCAACCTTAGATCTTTTACTAAATTATAAAAAACCTTGGAGGCATTAATGGTATTGTGGTATTAATTCATTTGAAGGCAAAAAATCTGTTTGTGAATGATACTTGTTTATATTTTTATTCTGGACTATTCATCTTCATCTATGTCTGCAATATGGTAGAATCTATTGATGCATTCTACCACAAAAGTCTAAAATAATGAAGATTAATTGTGAATATCAGAAAAGGTCAGAAGAGCGGGAAAAACCCCTTGGACTTAAAAGGAAACGCCGACACACAATCTGCATTGGAAAAAAACTTGTAAACAAAGCGCTTGCTTGCAACATATCCATATATGCAGCTACCGACCGTAAATGCAAAATGAAAACAAACTTTTGAACGGAAGGTTTTCAATGACTTTGTGTATTCTTACGCAATCTTTTGTAAATCTAAAAGCGTCAACCAAAGCATCAACATTCACTATATTAGCGATAGCAAACTACTTGAAATGAAGTCGAGGTGATGTATAATATTACAGCGTGGTCACCGAGTGTAAAAGGAAAATAAAAGCATCAGTCTGCGAATGATTGTTATCAGTGAGACGTCTTGAAGTAAAGTCCTATATCTAGGAATGACGCATACAATATCAACAACGGCTTCGTAAACTAAAGACATAATCACCTCAAAATATCACACCAAAGGACTAAACTTTAGCATTTGGTTTAGAAATGGGCCTCCATTTTCGTGACATGTGCCATTTAGAAGGATTTTAACTTGRTCTTTTCTGTGTTATTTTTGCATTGTTTTGATTCGTTTGGTTGCATTTGATTGGCTTTCTACTAATTAATCATATTAGCATAATCACGTTCTTCGAGTGTGACATGAGTACAAAGGAATCTTATCCCGACAGACCAGCTCTATTTTAAGGAACACAATGGGGTCAAATTTCCACTTTTAAGGTCCCTAAGCACCGTCATTTTAAGTCTCTAACTTTATCACTGAACCATGCCCTGAAACGATTGTGTGTTCGGCCGTTCAACTCTCGAGCTTGTATTGAAAATATGGCACGAGAACGCAGATCAAGAAGTATAAAAATGAACGCGACAGTGTTTCTGGACTGTGTTGTTCTTTCCTAAGAAAACAGAGTCCAAATTGACAGGTCAACCTATCATCCAAATCGTGAAGTTATCAAATTTCCAAAGCGAAGCGTTAATTTATTGCACACTATCGAATATTTGAATCGTTCGTCAATCTTGCATGAAATCATGAACGTTTTCGTACGGGAATGATCATGAAACGTTTTAAATCGAGTCATAAAGGACAAGAGAGCACCTACTTGCATATTAAAGGACAAATAATCAAAGATTTATTTAGATTGACACCCGTATTTGCTCATGACATAAAGCATCCTGCTGTTACGTGTGAAGCAGCAGGGCGCTCGAGTCATCGAAGGGGGGTTTTGATGGCAAAACATGCATATTTCCAGTTTTTCCCGGGTTAAAATGCTAGAAAAGATACTCGAGTACTGGCAAAAAACTAACATGAGCATTCACATCAGGTTTATTTAAAATTTTTGTGAATCGTTGATGTTGGAGGAAAGCTATAACATGACTCGACTGTACTCGCAAGCCCAGCCTCTAATTTGACCACGTGGGATATGATAATGATCCCCATGACAACAATGTCAATTTATGACAGGAAATTGACACACACCTCCTAGAATACATTTTTATCCGTGTGTTATTTCAGCAGATCAAATCAGAAGCAAAAAGGCATTCGAGTCACATCGTATCTAGTTAGAGTTTTTTGACGCGGAAAGAGGCCATGTCTACTGCGCTCGTATCAGCATTTTACGATGTTAACGATGTCGTTTACAAGGTGAGTCGATTTCAATGAAACTAACAATAGTTTTGTGGATTTCAATGGGTCATAAAACGTCTGTTTTAGACCAGGTTTTTGTTTGAGGTGATTATAACTACATTTAAAGTTTCTTAAGCCTGAGAGACATCACATAAACATGCTAATTTGCTTGCTCTTTTGTAGAACAACAAAAATCTGGGAAGCAGCCCCTTCGATTTTAGACCGAGGAATGATCGCCGTGTTGTAGCACCACCGAGAAGACATTCTACCAATTCCACGACACGACAAACTTCAACCAACCTTATAACGTTATCTAGTTTAAGTAATAAGCAAAGGGAACGATCACTGAGCTTGAGCACCGCAACTTCGATTCAGTCTGAAGACGATCCCAGACGAAACAGCCAAGGATCAAGTCGTTATAAAACAGAGTTGTGCCGACCATTTGAAGAAAGTGGTACTTGCAAATACGGTGATAAATGTCAGTTTGCTCACGGTGTGCATGAGCTTAGACAGTTATCTCGCCACCCGAAATACAAGACCGAACTTTGTCGCACATTTCATACAATTGGGTTTTGCCCTTACGGTCCGAGATGCCATTTTATACACAACGCCGAAGAGAAGCGCGCCCCACCTCCAAATAGTCCTCGCTCGCCTCCACCGCTTTCTCCACTCAATGGACCTCCATCTCCACCACTTACTGATCCATTATCACCACTGTCTACATCCCTAACACCACCATCGCCTTCTCCATTGTCCTTTTACAACGATGAGAGCCCTCTTTCTAGCCCTATTGACAGTCCTCTGCCGATGCCAATGTCTAGCTCTCCGTCTGTGAACAACGTCTTCAAATTTCCCTCACCAACTCAAGAGTATTCCCCAGTGATTTCTACCACTGCTGTAGGGTCTCCACGTTTCACTCCTTCGATTTCCTTGAAAACAGTGGAAGAAGAAAGAGATGATTTACCGCCAACTCCTCCTGAAGCGTTCGATGCATTTGGCCGTCGTCGCCTGCCTGTCTTCAACACGCTGGGCTACAACTAGTAGGAAACAGCAACATTCTGACTCGGAAAAACACAGAGCAATATGGCTAAGCATAATACTGAGATAACCAAACAGAACAAGCCCAAAGTCTGGTGAATCAGCTAAGGTGATAAAGCACGTTGAAATATTATAATATTGAACTTATTTTTATGATCGTCTTGTAGTAGAGAATATATATATATATATTACGCATTTATAGAAAAAAAATAAAATTAGTTATTTATCAAGAGAAGGCAACGGGAAAAATTAACAAAGTGGAAGAGCTTATGTTAAACATGAGTTTTTTTCCGAGCTAAGTCTTTTATATGCTTTTTTCATATCTATTTGTGTAATTTGCTATTGTACAGTGTAAGGCTTTCAATGGATACGGTACGCCAATTTAGAGGCTTTTCGTTTCTTTCTATTCTATATATATTTATATATATTATTTATTGTAACTTATAAAATTAACTCTGAGTATAAGGGCTATTTTGTTACAAATTCCCTTTACTCAAGCCCCCTTAAATTCTTACTATATTTGTTACTGTTATGATAGATAATTTTCTTATTAATATATGTTCTATTTACAAGGTCTTGAGGCAGGCAAAATGTAACTTAGTTAATTTATATACCATTTAGAAGAATAACCTTTCGTTGGAAATGTAAATAAGTTATACTCTTTCGATTACAAATCACTACACAATCGTTTGCTCTCAAGCATAATTTTATAATGATACGACAACTGTAGAGCAATTTCTAAATTTATTAAATTAAAAGATGCCCATTTTCTAATTTGAAGTCTGCTCTGTTTATTCAATCTCGAGGTTTTTGAATTCGCGCAGCATGAAACAAATCGGTTTTAACTATTAGCTTGTGTTCTTTAGTTAAACTTGTTTTTTATGTTTTCTATTGTGAAGGTAGAAAGAAAGGCTTACGAGAGAATTAAACGAGATTTCGGCAGCAAGATGGTGCTGGAAGGTGCTCGCGCTGGCTCGGCGGTTGCCGCACTAAGGTTTCATTTTCCCCCAACTTTACCATTGCGGTGACATTAGTTGGCAGAATTTTAAAAGCATGACAGATTCTAACCAAATTTGACCAATAAGAACGAATTTTCCCTTAGCCTTGGGGGCGACGACTGACATAACGAAACGCCAATACTTGATCAGAGTACGGTAAACATTAGGGATTTGATTACCTTACGATCTATTGTCTCGCAACGAATTACTCAAATATTATCCTGTCAATCAGGGTTATTTTAAACGCAAGCAATCTTATCTTCTCCGATTTATGAGTTCACTAAATTTGTAGACAAACTGGCTCTTTTGAAGAAGTTAGATTTGGTGAAATATTTTCACATAAAGGGCTTTTATGGAGCGTTTGTTTTTATCATGACGTCATGGACGTTGGGTGGGGATGCAAACCCCTGAAGTGCGCTGTGTTATGATATTTCTTTCGCTTCAGGCTCATCCATATGCATTTTTAGACCGTCTCATTTGCTTTACCATTGTTTTAGAATTCGAAACATCTAAAAGAACACCGTTTGAACTCGTTCATATTAAAGAAAATTTCCCAGGTCTATGTGAGCCGGGAGTTATTTTGTAATTCCACACGATAGGTGCCCAAAAAGGGCAAGCTGGTGCGGAGTTCAGAGAGCTGAAGCCAGGCTCTTTGTCAACCACACTATCCGTTTGTCTCCGTCAATTCGTCTCGAAAGCGAAACGGCAAAATACAAACAGATGCCAAGGTGAAAATTTGCGCAATTTCCATTCATTTGCTTTACGAATAAACCCCCCAAGAAATCGTTTATGAAGAGACTGAAACAAAGCGGTTTGACATGTACATGCACCAAAACTTCCTGTTGAATGAAAATCAGTGATTTTTCATGGAGGTTTTTTGGACACAATGTAAGAATGCTGTAATATAGACTGACGCAGCACTGCTTGTCGTAGCATTTCCGGTTCTCGATGAAAGCTTTAGCAATTTCGAAATCGTCACAAAATATGTTTTTTCTCCTTTTCCGGTCTTTTTATTCACCAGAAAAGACCGATTAAAAATGAAATACAAGCCGTTCTCGAAGGCACAAAATTTCCCCCCAAAAAAATTTAACACAAAAAGACTTAGGAGTTACTTCTTTGAAATAAGTAAGAGAACTACTGAGCTAGATATTTTGATACGATAATGCAGTGTTGTGGTCGAACGTGTATCAGAAAAATCTTCCAAAAATGTTTTTTTTACATGCATACATCTGTTTATCTTATACCTTTGGAATATTTGGTTTCCTTGAATGCTCTGACTATTTTGGCTTTGTAAACAATTGTGTTCTTTCCAATACTGAAGAGCTTCTCATTTACAAAAACAATTTTCTTGTGAACTGTCGTTGTAAAAGGAGATAATGACCAATTTTATTGATTCATGTTGTGTTAAGATTATAAACATTGAATTTGAAGTAATTATCTCGGTCTAAATATAGATAATTTTAGACCAAAAGGATGTTCGGTGTAAGCTTACTAGGTTTTTATTAACCTTTGACTCACAAACTAAACTGCTCGGTTCAAGAGGAAAATGGCTCAAGCTCCACTCAAAATGAAACTTAGAGATTATATTTCGTTAAAGTAACCATCTCTTGTCAGTCGGACTCAAAATAGTATGTATTCGTTCAAGAAATCTTTATCTTATCTGTCTCGCGAAAGGGGTTTGCGGGAATGCAAGGGCACTGCAGTACTCTTTGCAAAATCGTTCCAACTATTTGTAAACGACATTGGGCTACATTGTTCAAGGTTCAACTCTTACTTACTGTAGACAAATGGAAATAAATCGAAATATAAAGTTGGGGAAAAGGGCAAAAACCTTCCAAAAGCACCGGCGGAAATAAGATTGTTTCATTGTTGGGGTTCAGGATCTAAAGCCGGGGCTCTATTATTGTATAATCTTGCTTTATTTATATGATTCGGGACTTTTTGCTAGGTATTATTTACGGAAATGGCAATATTTTGTCTTTAGACTCAGGAAAATTTTCTCTTTGGCAAAGGCAGGTTTGAGTCAGTCCTCCCGACTCCCTGCTCCAGCCAGCTTTGCAAAGCGAACTTCTCGTCGAGATCAACTTTCTTCATCGTGTGTGTTGTTCTCGGAATACTTTAGGTTCTCGGCCACCCAAGCAAAATAATAATGTTTTTGATTTGTTTATCTGGGTGTTTCGTTGCATTTCACAAAGCATTCGTGGGTTAAGGTTCTTGCCTCTCAGAATCTCGCCCAAATTGGGCCCTGCTTTGATTTTAAAATGGGAACGTGCCTTGTCACATCTACCACGGATTTCCCCCCTTCAAATGTAGGGGAGGGGACATGTCGTATCTCAAGTGCTCAAGGGATGCCCAGAGGTGCCGAAACTGATAGATACTATTGAAATATTATATTGTTGCGGACGATCCGAGCTTTGGCTCGTAGTAAAGTTGTTACTACCTCGACAATCTACACTCCTTACTAAAAATGTTATTTTTGTTACAACTTTTTCTACCAAAAATATCATGCTTTTTTACCAAAAATGGTCATGCTACTTGAATTTTCGTAACTCTTCAAACAATTTTTTCGAGGAAGAATGATTCAGAGGGAGAGAGATGGTCTCGCATTTCGTGAGATTTTGAAGGAAAAAAGCGTTACAGCAATACCTGTTCCGTGACCGTGTACTTGTTGGTTCAGGGGGGTCATGGGATGTGCCTTGATTTATTGCAGTTAAACTAAAGCTATACGAATAAATTCCAATCTCTTGCCAGTTCTCCATTTATTTTCATTTCGCAAGTGATTTGATTGATAACGTCTAATTTTCACGGTCTGCCAGCGAGAGCTGCGCAATCCGGTCCAGTAGTTTCCCAGACGTGCAGTTTGCACGTGATTATTACAATATAGCTCTTTTACAGCCATTTATATCCTCTACCAAGGTAGGCTGGTGGGGGTGGGGGAGGGGTTTAGGGGACGGAAATTAGCCATGGTAATAGGGACGCACAAACAGGTTCCAGAGAAGACATGACAGATGTTAGAGAGCCGAGAGGCACGAACTTTTCTCGCGCATGCACTTCTGATATTGTGATTGATTCTTATCTTACCGGAAGTTGTTGACTCATTACCTTGTCTGTTTCCGGTTTGAATAGCATCGATGTCATTTCGATGAAGAGCGCTCTTAACTTATCAAAAGTCTGAGAAGCCAAAACTAGCTAAAAACTAGTTGAGCTGCGTCGGTGTTTCTAATAAAACAGTAATGATAAAAGGGTAAATTTCCCTCCTTTGCTCCGACGAAGGACTAGCGTCCAAGACGCCAGTAAGTTTGTTCATCTTTTCACGGTGTAAAACCTGCCCCTTTATCATTGCTGTGATCACAAGTATGAGAGGTTCTTGCGCAAACCGCTGAGGAGTAGAAGAATGAGCGTGACAAGCGTGTCATCTATTCATCATACAATCAGTTAGTTCTTCCGTTGAATCACCTTCCAACCTGCTCTCTCGCCCCCGGAACATCTACCAGGCTGCCTGTGGTGTATGTCAATCCTTCAGTTCCAAAAAATAAATTATTCATGAAGCTACCATACGATATACGCATGGTGGCTTAACGAATAATCATTTCATTTAATCAACTTCTAAATATATGTTAGAATTTTAGATAATTTTATCATAAAAAGCTTAAGCTCAAACTAACAGTTTTAAAACCTATCACGTGCTTGGAAGGGGGGGGGGGGGGGGGGGGGGGGGGGCTTTATGATGTCTATGGTAATTTCGCGTCGCAGAGGGAGTGTACGAGGAAACATGGCTCATTTAGGAAGGTTATATTGAAGGAAAAAAACTGCATAACAAATAAGGAAGTTGAGTTTAGAGATTCTAAATTATTGTCTGGGATATAGAGATTACGTGGGCGTCTAACCAGAATTCGCCTTGAAGGGGAACAGCCACGTTCTACCGGATGGTCTGGGTGGGTTCCGGTGAGGTAACTATAATGTCAACAATTCTGAATGCTGTTTATGAATAGATGAATTGATTAGGAAAAAATCAACAAAAACTCCGCACTTCTTGCGTAAAATCATTCAAAACAAATCCTTGACGCGACAAGTAGAAAGTGAGTGTTTTTTTGAGGATGATTTCGTTGTACATGAGATTATGCTTGTGTTGATAATCATAATACCGTGTCTAGAAACTTCCGGTCACCTTACCGGAAAAGCGCATGACACAGATCTTAATCAAGGTTAGAGATCACGTGCGAAGGAATGTCGCATGATATGACGTCATGGATTTTGCTGATATTTTTATTCGTGAAAAATATTTTGAGTTTTTTGCTTGTGGGGAAGTTACGTCACTGTCCTTGGCTCTGAAGGGAGGTTTATAGTCGGGGGAAAAAATGCTAATTTTATAGGTTTTGCACCATCAAGTGACGCCAGCCATGTTAGATGCCAGGAACAATACAATCGTTTTACATGAGAAAGAATTCCCTAGCGGGAAGGGACTTCATTGTTTTGCCACCTAACCACAGGCAGTCCAAGCTGGATTATGGCGCCGGCACGTGATGGTGCGAAACCTCTTTTAAGACCTAAATCACAGGTAGCCCAAGCTTGGTTTCTGTGGTGTCCTGTTATAAGGAAATGTATGGAGATTCATCAAAAATTTCAATAAAATCATTGNCCAGTATAAAAGGCCAGAATGAGTTAGATTATAGAAAGCGGCACCGTACTAAGATATTTTTAAAGGTAAGTCAATTAATAGTTGTTTTTTTTCCTCATCACTAGTCCTTCACTTTATTTTAAGGAATTCCTAATCCATATTCAAAAAACGTTGTCGCCTATTGTAGTACATTATAGGATGGATTAAACGGCCAATTAAGCTGCAAAACCGTGCAGCTAGAGTAATAATGAAAGCAAGTTATAAAGTAAGGTCCAAAACGCTTCTTGATTCCTTTACACTGGGATATTCTCTCTTCAGGGCCGTAGCCACCGGTACGGTTGGTCCGGTTTCAACCGAACAAACTTTCGGGGGGGTAGGGGGGGGGGTTGGATGATGCCTAAGGTAATTTAGCATCGCAGAGGGAGTGTACGAGGAAACATGGCTCATTTAGGAAGGTTATATTGAAGGAAAAAAACTGCATAACAAATAAGGAAGTTGAGTTTAGAGATTCTAAATTATTGTCTGGGATATAGAGATTACGTGGGCGTCTAACCAGAATTCGCCTTGAAGGGGAACAGCCACGTTCTACCGGATGGTCTGGGTGGGTTCCGGTGAGGTAACTATAATGTCAACAATTCTGAATGCTGTTTATGAATAGATGAATTGATTAGGAAAAAATCAACAAAAACTCCGCACTTCTTGCGTAAAATCATTCAAAACAAATCCTTGACGCGACAAGTAGAAAGTGAGTGTTTTTTTGAGGATGATTTCGTTGTACATGAGATTATGCTTGTGTTGATAATCATAATACCGTGTCTAGAAACTTCCGGTCACCTTACCGGAAAAGCGCATGACACAGATCTTAATCAAGGTTAGAGATCACGTGCGAAGGAATGTCGCATGATATGACGTCATGGATTTTGCTGATATTTTTATTCGTGAAAAATATTTTGAGTTTTTTGCTTGTGGGGAAGTTACGTCACTGTCCTTGGCTCTGAAGGGAGGTTTATAGTCGGGGGAAAAAATGCTAATTTTATAGGTTTTGCACCATCAAGTGACGCCAGCCATGTTAGATGCCAGGAACAATACAATCGTTTTACATGAGAAAGAATTCCCTAGCGGGAAGGGACTTCATTGTTTTGCCACCTAACCACAGGCAGTCCAAGCTGGATTATGGCGCCGGCACGTGATGGTGCGAAACCTCTTTTAAGACCTAAATCACAGGTAGCCCAAGCTTGGTTTCTGTGGTGTCATGTTATAAGAAAATGTATGGGGATTCATCAAAAATTTCAATAAAATCATTGGAACGTGAAATAAAGCCTCGAAATGTTACCCGATCATTGAGAAATAGCACTTCTTTCGCTCTGCGTGGTTATTCTTTGAATTTAGCCCGTTTTAAGATTTTTTTCCCCACCAGTAAGAAATAAGAGAAGGTTGGAAACTCGAGTCCCAAAAGCGAACCATCACGGGTCTTTGAAACCTCGTACGTCTTCGAATTTCCTTTCCAGCGCCAAATTTTAGTCATAATCCTTCTCTAACATCCCTATAGAACCGAGAAAGTCGCATTAGAGACTAGTCTTCGCGTTTTTAAGCCATGAAATTTGCCTGTATTCACTTACTACCTCTCTTGTTCTGACCCGTACTTGGAGCTCACTGTACACCAGTTCAACGGATTTCTTTCGGCAACCGACCCGAGGTCACGCCGGAAGTCTTCGTATCGTAAATGCGGATTGGATTTGGATATAGTCTTTCTTCGAAATTATGGTGAGTGTTTTTTTTCAACGGCCTAAGATACAAAAGTATTTAACTTATAATTTCGAAGAAAGACTATATCCAAATCCAATCCGCATTTACGATACAAAGACTTCCGGCGTGACCTCGGGTCGGTTGCCGAAAGAAATCCGTTGAACTGGTGTACAGTGAGCTCCAAGTACGGGTCAGAACAAGAGAGGTAGTAAGTGAATACAGGCAAATTTCATGGCTTAAAAACGCAAAGACTAGTCTCTAATGCGACTTTCTCGGTTCTATAGGGATGTGAGAGAAGGGTCATGACTAAAATTTGGCGCTGGAAAGGAAATTCGAAGACGTACGAGGTTTCAAAGACCCGTGATGGTTCGCTTTTGGGACTCGAGTTTCCAACCTTCTCTTATTTCTTACTGGTAGTGGAAAAAATCTTAAAACGGGCTAAATTCAAAAAATAACCACGCAGTTCAAAAGAAGTGCTATTTCTCAATGATCGGGTAAAATTTCGAGGCCTTATTTAACGTTTCAATGATTTTATTGAAATTTTTGATGAATCTCCATACATTTCCTTATAGCAGGACACCACAGAAACCAAGCTTGGGCTACCTGTGCCTAAATTTACCCGAAACAAAAACAAGAAATTGAGAAGAAAAGTAATGCATTTGTGACAAATTATGTTTTGCTCAGCACAATCACTCATCACTTTATGAAATGTGGAGAAAATCGATTACATATAAAAATCGAAACAGCAGGTTTTGACGGAGTTGCGTGATAACTGTAAAGTAACGCATGGCAGCATCGTGACAGTTAGAAATGATTTCCGGTCTGAACCAATCAAGAAAACACAAAGTAACAAAAATGAAGCATTACGAGTGTCAGTTTTTGTTCGACTTTGGTTTCTCAGAAAACAAACATACGAACGAAGCAAAAACGTGAACCACTAATTAGCGAGGAAACATATAAACAAACAAACAAAAATAAACAAGAAAGAAAACAAGAAAACGGCAAGTAAACAAACAAATACGCAAACAAACAAGAGAGAACTGATACAAATAAACAACAACAAAAATAACGAGAAAACAAACAATCAAGCAATAAAACAAGGAAACAAACAGACAAACAATTAAGCCATAAAAAAGGAGGAAAAACCAACAGAAAAATAAAGATAATTAGACGAAAGCTAACAAAAAAAAATGAACAAAAAGCTACGTTTGCAAAGATAACCTCAAAGAGATGACTAGGTATCCTAGTGACGGAGCTTAGGGCCAAAAATGCTTTTTCCTGCGCCTCGTGGTTTCGGCCAGACACAAACCGCTATTATCTGTCGTATTATTCAACTGAGTTCAATTTTAGAAACTTACCATCGTCAAAGGTTCAAGATCTATAAAATAAATTGGATTTTATGCTATCAACATTACGAAGTTTAACCTAGGAGTTTTGTCGTTTCCATTTACTGTATATTACTGACTGTATTGAAATAATATTTTGAATAATTTTTGAACTTGAAACATGAAAATTGGCGGAGTACTTAGGACTTTAGGACTAAAGAAATGGATGGATGGATGGATGGATGGA